CAAGTCACAACTGACTCCCAACTGAATTGAATCCCAAGCTCAATATAGCTGAAGGAGCCAAGAAAACTTTTCTCAAGAGACTGGTGCCATTTGCTAGAGTGGGAAATGTGAGTCCTCAGCTTTTTGGCTGCCTGGGCTCAGTGCAGCCTGCAGCAGAATCTTACAGTTTTCATACTTGCAGCTCAACATGTGCCTGCCCATGTTTGTGGCTAAAAATGTGCTTTCTCCATAATGAAACTGGAATCAATAACCAATCAAGGCAGTATGTGCTTCTGTAGAGCCGCTTAAAATAGGCTTGCTTGCTTGCTTTCTTAGCAACTGCTCGCAGTGAGCCCAACCTTTCATTTCTTCCACTGAGCTGAAAAGAGCTCTGCAATCACATCATCACAGCACAAGGCAGTCACAAATATTCCACATCTTTTAAAGCCAGAGAAATACAGGGAACTGAAAGGCAGCAAAACACTCTGTACAATAGAAAAAAAAAAACCACTCTTGTGCCCATAGAGCAGCAGCAGAATTGCCAAGTTGAGCACTCAAGAAGTAAGGCATGTGTAAATTAAGGTTGCTTGTGTAATATCACTTCACTCCCCCACCTCCCTCTACATTTGCATCCTGAAACAGCCTTTAATTGTAAGAATTGCCTGCAACATTTTACTGCTGTAGCCCTCTCACTCTGTTCCCAGCACTTGATTAATGAGCAGCTATTCAATATCTTGTTTTCTTCTCCAGCACGTGGTCTCCTGCTTAATCTTTACTGCTGAAATCCTGCTCTGGAGTCAGAAGTCTCCATGAATCATGTAGGGGTGGATTTTTTTTTTTTATATAGACATTTACTACTCGGCCAAATTTGGGTAGCTTTCCCAAAGAAGGGGAAGAGGTCAGGCATACAACACAAACTCACTGAATCCAGTTCCCTGCTCCAGACTGTAATGGCATGAGCAGTCCTCAGCAAAAGACAGCAGTGGTCTTCCCTGAGGACAGCACAACTTACTTTTCTTCTAAGATGTGTGTGAGATCCCAAGGGAGTCTCCTGGGAGGCTCTGATCCTGATGGGTCAGGCAGAAATGCTGGATCTGAAATGGTGCTCTGGGGTTTGCTCCCTGCTCTGGCTGAAGGTGCCATCAGCTGGTAAGAGCACATCTAACTCCCACTGGGAAATGTGGTACAGGTGTGCTCACGACTGTTCTTCTTGGAAAGCTGCCACACAGTCCTGCCTGCAGATGCAGGTTGTAACACTCTCAGTAGAGGAGGCAGTGACATTTAAAAGACCAGGAAAAATATGTATTGAAATACAAATATGTTTAACAGCACTGGCTATTTTTAAAATTACCAAAAACGAAATTGCTTTCATTCTACTCGGGATCAAGGGCCTGTTTACAACCAGTTTCCTTCATTAAACCTTTGCTTTATAATATATGGCTGTGTCAAATACCAACATTCAATAATATTTTTTTGTGAAAAGGGAGGAAAAAAAAAAAACAGTCATACTGATTGGATGGACCATCAAATAACCACTTGATGGATGAAAAGGAGAAATGGAAATGCCATCTGCATTTCCAGTACTCCCCAAGTGATCAGCCCACTGGGAAATAACAAGGGAGGAGGATTCAATATTCTCTATATGTCTGCAAATCACTATTACACACCAAATTTTGCAGGAGATCAATACCCCTCTAACAATTCTGCCACAGATGCCAGAGCTCATTAGTAGGATGTGAATAACTATGGAGGTTGGAAATCCTATTTTACTTGTCTGTCTGGATTTTGGTTTCTTACCAGCTTAGCTGGGGATTTCATGACCAGATGTTATAGTCTATGTTGAGCTCTTATTCAGGTAAAATTTCCTTATCTAAAAGGGGAGTTTTGCCTCAGCTGACTCAGCAGGAGCCTCAGAGTTCATTCTGCATTAGTTTTTATCATTCCACTTGAATTAAATGCACAGGAGAGCACACCAATCTGACCAGAACTACTGGTGGTACCATTCTGATCTGAGAATGGTACTGAGAGTGGAATCTGTTTCTGCTTCTTTTGATCATCCAGAATTTCTTCTTATCCTTAAATGGCATATTCTACTGGAAAAAAAAACCCAACCAAACAAACAAAGAAATGATACCCAACACATAGTCACTTTAAAAAATTAAAATTAAAGAGTGAAACCAAATCTACTTCTGTCCTCTTGCCTTAGTATTTGAACAATTTTTTTTTCTTGTTTTGATTATACACATTTCTCCCTTCTGCCTCTTGCAAACAAAGATTCCACAGAAGTCGTGTCATTCTTACTTGCATCCTTGGTTCAGCTTTCAAGACAAAATATGTTTCAGAAGCTTATGGTCCCAGAAGAGCTATGAATAGGATTTTTCTCAAATCTGGTAGTAAAATATGATACTTCCCCTTTCATTACAGAGCTCTTCTGTCCTTTAACTCTGGGTTTTGCAGGAGCTTTGAGAGGAATGAGTAGGACACTCAGGTTGATTAGGCTAATGAGTCAGTGCTGGTCAGTTCACTTGCTGCAGCCAGGCTGTTGGGACAGGACCCTGCAGGATTCTGAGCTTCCTGACGTACATCCCAAGCCAGACAGGGACACAGGACTTCGACAAAACCACCCAGGTCCACAAATCCTCTTGGGTGCTGAAATGCTGTGCCCAGGGAGCAAAACCTGCCTGGCAAGAGCTGCTGCGGAGCCGTGGTGCACAAAGGGCAGGAACACCAAACCAGCCGAGGGATCTGCACAGGGCTGCAGCCATGCCTTGGTTAATCCATTCCAGAGAATTGTTTAATCCCACTGCAGTGTTCCCAGTGCAACAGCTTGCAACAGGGGTGACTGGAGGATATTACTGACATGTACCCTCATTTTGCAATGGCTGGGAGCATTCACTTTTGCTGCCTGTGTTGCTCCCGGAGGAAGGGCCTTTCCCCATCGCTGATTTTCAGAGCCTTTATGCTTTTACAGGAATTTTGCACAACAGAGTGGGGCTTCATTTTCTATGTCTGCAATGTTTTTCTGTCCCTGTAAATAACTGCCCTATCCAGGCTCCTCTCTGAAAAACAGAGCACTCAGGATTTCAAAATGATGGTAAAATTGCCCACCATTAGTTTCTCCAGAAATTCACACTGTGCATGCATTTCTGGTCTGCAAACACACTTAATATGAATGCAAAACATCTTCATACAAAAATCAGGGAAAGGGAAAGGGAAAGGGAAAGGGAAAGGGAAAGGGAAAGGGAAAGGGAAAGGGAAAGGGAAAGGGAAAGGATTTAATTGAGAGACCTTTGATAAATCTATCCATACACATAACCAGAATGATCTAAAATATATATTTTCGACAGTAAGCTATGCAAAACCTTCACTCAAATGTAAATATTTGCTTTATGTGAATGGCATGTTTTAATCATGGATGCCAGCAGACAATCTGAAATTACTTGTTTTTTTGCTGCTTATATTAAAGAGAATGAGAAGGTAGATATTGCGGCGTAGTTTTTCAAAGACATATCGGCATTATTTGTGTAATTACTTGGAGATTTCCATATAGATGCATTTTAAAATACTTCTGAATCCTGGCATAGACTCTGCAAGTCCTGTGACTTAAACTTTCTTTAGAACCCAGTTCATAAGAAAAAATCATAAGAAAAAAATTCATAAGAAAATCGAGAGGCTGTGTTAACCTAAAAATCTTACATTTTTAAATCTTTCCCAGCTAATCTATTTCACATGCCTAGAGGGTTTTGCCCACACCAGTATGAATCTGCTCTTCTTGGACCTCAAAAATCCTCAAGAGAATTTTATTTGATAATAGACCTTTGAAATTGGTTAAGAACTTGTCTAAAGTCCTGAAGAAGCATGCTTTTACAAGTCCTGCATGTGAAGGAGTGTTTTGGCAAAAGTACTCCTGTCTCTGAGGCTGGGATTAATTTAATTTAATGAAGTTAGTTGGGTTGGCAGTCTCTGCTAATCACCAGGGCTCCCTTGCCTGGCTTCACTGGTTAGAAATAGGCACCTACTGCAGACACGGGATGAATTCCTTTCAGATATTCCTTCCTGCCTCTTTTTCTCATTTTTTTAATAGGAAGAGTGCAACTGACAAACTTAACTGGATGCTCAGCTTACAAGTAGACAATGTTAAGGCAGATCATCCCAACATATGTTGTTATTTGTAAGGCATTAAGCACTATGTAGTGGCTGGGCATCACTGAGATTTTTGAATAGGTCAGAAGTTCCCAGAAGTGCCTCCATGAACAAAACTTTAGGTCAACACCCACCGTCTGAATTTGTTATCCACTCTGCAAAAAAGGGTATCATTACTATCTTTTCAAGAACACTGTGCCTGTAGCTTCCAACTCATAAGGACTATTTTGTTCTCCATATAAGCTGTTTCAGGAAGAAACTTGTCTGAACCAAAATCTGAAGCTCCACACATCTGCAGAGACATGAAGCTTAGTTTGGAACAAATTCTCGCTCCATCAGCAAGTGTGCTCATCTGAACACCAAATGTGTATTTGAAAATCTGAGAAACAGGCAGGTTCTGCATTGACAAGTGTGTATTTGAGGGTCTAATACATTTAGTCAGATTCATCCAGGAGTAAATTTTTCATTGTTGGGGCAGGACCAAATTGACTAGGAGTTTTATCATATGTTCACCACATCTTTTATTTTCATCAGCTACAGTTTGGCTTGCCACAAGTTAATGTGCTTATGCATTAGGTCAGGTTCTTCTATTCAGACTGTTTTAGCACCATCCAAAAAAACAAGGGTAAAAATAATTTTGGGAAAGAGAAAATCAGTATAAAACCTGTATTCATATTTGTGCTGGTGCAGCACATTCAAATCTCTCAGCAAAGTCTTCAGCTGCCAAAACTGTGAAGAAAGATGCATGACCTTCTGCTACATTTCCCATGTTTTTTGTCTTAATTAAACTTGTCATGAGTCATGTTTACAACACCCAACTTACAGCAGTCCTAAACAAACAAAGGCATTCACTCTCTGATGTGCGTGTCCAAACTCACCAGGGATTACTGCTGCCGTTTTCATCACTTCCTGTATGTGGAAAATGCAAAGGCCAAATTTAGAAATGGATCACAAGTCTCTGGACAGGTTGTTTCCAAGAAGGCTGATGAAATCTGCTTTCTTATTTAGCTTAAACCTGTCTTCCCAAGTATTATCTTCCTGGAGACTTTCAGACATGTTTCCATCCTTAAGCTGTTAACTCCTGCAGTATTAGGACAAAGAGACAAACTAACCTAAAAAGACAGATGGGGGATCAGAGCTGCCATTTTTTAGCGCAAAGCCTATGTGTGTGAAACCCAATAGGGCTTCCTTTGGGTACTTAAATCTAGGAAAATTATAAAAAGCAAGATATGCTTGTTATTGTAATCATATTGAGTTTCAAAGAGTCACTACCCCCCACATCATGCTTTAATTTGTCCATCTTCCCTACTAAGTAGCTTCAAACCTAAAATCATTAATATGATTATATTGAGCCAAAGAGTTGTTTGGGGTTCTTTTAAGAGTTTCTTTTTTCTACTATTTGGTCAACACACCATGGAGCTGCATTTGAGTTATCCAACAGTCAATCCACACATATTTCAGATTACAAGGGCAACTACTTTTTAAAGACAGGTTTAACACCACTCTATGTGAAGCAAATAAATGGGATGAAAGCAAAAGAAGCAGTTAAAGAGGGTCAGCTATTATAGAGGAGCAAGAACTGTCATTAGCTTGGGTATTGCTATGATCAGCAAAGACTGGAGTTGCCCTCTCACTGCACAAGACAGAAGGCAAAACCAGCCACTGCCATGAAGAACATCATTCTCTGCATGAAGAAAAGAAGGAATAAAAAGTTTGGGGAGGCGCAAGGAGAGGAGGCTAATTCTTATTACTTTATTTGTAGTTCTAAATCCTACTTTTAACTCTTCCTTATTGTAACGGTTATTTTATTTTATTTTTAAATTAATGTGTCTTCGTGTTATTTTTAACTCCAGGTGTTGCTATCCTTCTGGAAGAGAGTTTGGCGTCAGGCAGTGCCATGCCCAACCAAGCCCTGATACCCGGTAGGCTCTGATTAGCGGGAAAAATCCCACTCTGTTTCAGCTGAAAGCAGAAGAGGAGGAGGAGGAGGGAGCACCCGGTCCTGGCAGCCAGTCCCCCGGAGGAGCTTGTTTTGATTTTGCTTCACCAGCTGCATCTTGCAGGGATGCGTGTAAGCTGCAGGGCTCGGAGCCAGGCAGAGCCATACCCTGAGAATCCCACGGGCATCTCCAGACCGTGTCCACAGCCAACATAGGAAATTCCGACGAGACCCGACCCTCCCTCACTTCCTCTGGGGGCCTGGCGCCGGTCACCAGCAAATCCTCTCACTTCTCAAGATCTTTATGTCAGGCTGCAGCTCCTATTTTTGAGCTGACGTTCCCCGGGTTTAATTCACTTAGCCTGTGACCACCTTCATCAGCTTCCCGCAAGCACAGCACAAGGCGAGGCTGCGAGATCCTGCCCGCCGCACTGCCATCCTCCCCCGCGGCCCCACCGCCCCCTCGGGAGCGTGTATTTATAAAGAGGTGGATTAGGAACATTACCAGGCAGGTCACAGGGTGTCAAGCTGCTCTTTCAGGGCTTAAAATCGGAGGCTTACTCAAGAGGGAGTGCTCGGTTCCTGTGAAAGCGGCGGGGATGATTGCAGCGATGTACTTGCAATTTACTCTATTAGCAGCACCGGTGCTTCAGCCTGGAGCGTTTTGAGACGCAGTTCCTGTAAACAAAGCAATCAGGACGTGTAGAAATGCTTTGCTTTCATTTTTTTTCTTTCTTTTTTTTTTTTTTTTTTTTTTTTTTTTTAATTTTTCATGTGGGGAAAATAGTTGGAGTCTTTTTAAGTGCAATAAATGAAATTCAAAAATGGTCAGTGAGCACTGGGTGATTCATACCTGCCAAGGAGCCCAGACCGTCATCCCCTCGGAGCTGGGCACCCCAAGAGCAGTTCTGTCAGCTCTCATGGGGTTGGGGGAGAGAAGTGCCCACAGAACTGGCACCTGCCAGATCATATGGGAAGCAGAGCCCAACACCCGCCAGCTCCACAATGATACCCCAGTGCCTGAGACCACGCACAACCTATTAGACACCGTCAAAAACATGCCAGGCCGAGCTGTGGCTACAGACTGTGGAGAAAACACTCCGCCTCAGTGCAACGTTCTTGCAGCTTGTAAATCAGAAGCAGCCATTTCCCTTTGCTGCGCTGCGGGGATCTGCACGAAGGCAAATCCCAAGTGCTTCGTTATTCTGCTGAGCTCTAATCCTGTCAGCATCTCTGGCCACTCCATCAGTTGGATTAGAACAAGGCTGAAAGTCAGAATACGGAGCAGGGCCCGTGGGGGTAGATGGAACCATCACCACTCAGCCGAGCCCCACCTGCTGCCAGCACCCAGAGCTTTCCCCACCACTGCCATTTGGGGTGGCCAGAGCTGCAGACAGGGCAGCCTGTGTTCAGCATCACCACGGAGAGTTGGGGCTGTGTCTTCAGCCCCCTCCAGAGCCTCTGTGCTGTTAATGGATGAAGTAACCGTAGCATGGCTGTCAGAGCCTTTCGTGTTCGTGCCGAAAGTTAGCCAAAAATGTTCCGGCAGAATACATTTTCCATGAGAAAATGCTGCTTTAACAGACTCTAACCCTGCTGGTGGAAACCTGTCAGCTGCTGTATCCTGTGGTAGAAACCAGATGGGTGTATAAATAAGGATCCTGCCTTCATCCTGGGACCACTGGCAGCAAAAATAAAGATCCATTCAAGGTATCTCTCTTATTTTCTCTGCCTTTTCCCAACTACAAAAATAATTTCTCTTTTTTTATCTTTCTGTCCCATTTTTGAAAGTTTTAATTTCTTCTGACACCCTAAGAAAAGCACAGCATATGTGGGAACTGGGTTCTGTCTCCAGCAGCTCATTTCATGATCCAGGTGGGCACATCCTTTCCATCTCAGAGAGGAACCAGGTCTATGACCTCACACAGCTTCACCAGCATGGTTCCAATGAGGACTGATGGGCTGGATTTGGCCCTAAAGCCAGTTCCAAGTTTTGCCTGGCTGGTCCTTGGGAACATACACCTCATCATACCCAAACACATAAAACAGCAGGTCCCCAGGGCTGCCACACTGTGTGATGCACAAGGAAGGGCTTAATACCAGACTCAAGCCCCATCATCCCAGAACGACAGCATGAGCACCTCTACTTTAACATTTCCTGAGGGTTTGTAACATCATCAGGGGTCAAAACTGATCTCCCATCCATGAATACAAAGACTGAGACCACCACCACCCCTACTTTATCTGCTCCCCAGGGGGTGGCATATGGAAACCTGTCAGCTCTCAGAAGCTCCAAGGATTTCCACAGCAAGATCCTGTCTGTCTTAAAAAGTTATCTTGAGACTTCATCTTTTCTGAGGGTACTTAGTGACAAGTAGAGTTGACCTCCGTGGCATTCACTGGGGACAGTCCTTGCTTTTGTACAAAAGCACAAAAAGAACAAGATTAGGTGAGCCAAACTACCACCTCTTAATGACTTACAGAAATCCACACTCTTACTATTTATAAAGTCACACTGTCTTGGCAATAGGAAAGAAAGAGTTGGCATTATTTTTATATTTTCTATATCTGTCTAAATTCTACCTTACTCTTTTTTCCACTGTCCTTTTCTTCAGAAATCAGTCTACACTTCCCACTCACCTATAGATTTTTCCCAGTAGGCAATTGCTCACAGAAACAATAGGAAATAAATAAAGCTAGGAGACTTGTCAAGATGTCATGTGAACCATAGCTTTCTCCAAAAATGCCCAGACTCTACCAATCTACATGCAGTCATCACCTCCATACAAAGGTAACAGGACTCAAGCCCTTGAGGACGGGGCTGTCTGCACAGTATGTAGGTGACACCCTGGACAGCTTGGGTAAATCAGATACATCCCTCTTTTCCTACTTTTTAAAATGGCAGTATAGAGAATTAAAGGCTGTAACTGAGAGTTTTCCATAGACCTGTGAAAAAGCCAGCATAATTCACTTGCAGGGAGATAAATTCCACATGAACTTACTCCACCACGTTGATTCAAAAGTTATATTAGAGAGATGATCCAAGTGCAATACAGGTTATGAATCATTATATCCAGATTCCAGATGTCATAGTCTTCATTATCTCTAAATTGTCTGAAGTGTCCCCACCCCTTCCCCTCTCATTTAAGAGACCTTTTGCTATGTCAAACACTCCTTTCCAGCTCTGCCCTGTAGCTAGAAGCAGTGATCCCGAATGCAGAGCTGACCTGGCAAGCTCCCTGGCTCAAGTCTGACACTTACCCCCAGTGCAGCAGCCACCCCGTGTCTTGTACATCGGGGAGAACCAGCACAAATGTGTTTGATTTGTAACTTTACAAGGACTTTCACATTGAGGTTTAAGTTCCTTTTATTAGTAGGCCTAAAGAAGGGCACCATTAACACATAACAAAGGAGGCAGAACTAAACTATTACCATAACAGCAGTGTTTTAAAAACCTCACTACTTAGGGGTTTATAAGGTTCCTTGGAAAGGTTATTGCAGAAGCCACAAAATGGAAACAGAGGAGCGAGATTCTCAGCTGCACTGTGCCTTCCCACATGCTTTTGGCCCTGTACAGAGAGACCTGCCTGGTTAAAACACAACTAAAGCCTCTCTTAAGCAACCTGCTCATCTTGGGGATATCCAGTAGCCTTCCCTGCACCAGGAGGATCCCCTGTCAAGATTTAAGAGTCCACTGTTCCATTGCTCCAGGAGAGCCTCAGCAGAAAAACTGAAGGGAAAATTTAGCAGCTGAGACAGCCAGTGTATCTCTCCCAACAACCTTGTTTCAAACAAGACCCTCTGTTCAACCCTTTTTTTCTGTTCTATTTTTCATGTTTTACTTTCTAGGTATTTTGAATGAAGGGTGTCCAGGCCCTGAAAATGCACCAAATGAAACATCAAAGTGTTTCAACGTGTCTAAATGAAATGCTGTATCTTTTCTAACACTTTAATATTTGTTTAACACCGTCCATCAAAAAAAGTGTTCCCAAAACTGGTTATCCAGTTCAAGGTCCACACACTCTCAGGCTGTCATAAAATAATGACATCAACAAAAGCTGTATTATTTCAAGACATTTCCTTATAAAGCAATGGCACTGTGTATTAGCAGCCCTTATTCTCTGCAAATCCCGGTCTCAGCTGCAGGGGAAGGAAAGGGCTGGCTGGTCCGGGAGAAGGGACCTGGCTGAGCCTCTGTTAACTCGTGCCAAAGCACATCCCAATGCCTGCACAGCCAGCACAGTGCCATCCTCACTGGGGCTTTCCTCCTTCTCCTCCACTAGCCAGACAATCTGGCACTCCCCTTGGGGCACTGAGCCAGAGTCTCCTCCCTGGCTGGCCCAGCTGCACTGGAGATGAGGGGGAACTGGAGATTGGAGAGGATGAGTAACCATCAAGCAGGCAGCAGCTGCCTTTCTTTTTCCCAGGAAGAGTCATCACTCTGAGGTGGCATCCCTGCAGGCAAGCCAGATTTCCAGTCCATTAAACTGACTACTTCCTTCATCACCTGTATTTTCCCTAAGTTTTTTAGGAGTTGCCTTAGTCTTCCTGCAGCATGACTTAATCCACCACTTCTAATGATCTAACAGATTCCAATCCTCAGACCTCTCTCCATGATTTCACTGCTCTGCTGTCTCCTCTTTGCCTGATCTCCATCTGACATGGAAAACATCCCTTTGTCAGCCCTTGCTCACCCTTGCCTTGTCTCCTGACCACCCCACGTCCCCAGATCTGTTTGACAGAAATCCCACCACATGCTCCTTGCACATGTGGAGCCTTACCCCTCCTGGCCCCCCAGAACAGGGAAGGACCACAGCCCACACCTCCTGGCTGCCAAGAAGGCAGTCTGGAATGTGAGCTCATGTTTTCCTAAAATAAGCAGGAGCCGTGCACTTAAACTCAACACCTGCGGCAAGGCGGGAGTGGCTGCTAGCGCTGTGCAGCATCCAAAGCACTCCTCGCACGTGGCGCGGCGTGGCACAGCGCAAGCCAGAGGCATGGAGCAGCCAGCAGCCTTCCAAGGGTGACTAATGCCTTGCTGCTAAAAACAGCTTCCAGGGGTTTTCCATGAGCAAATCTCACTACAGGTCGAGTATTGGCTTTTCACCTGCTAAATACAAGAGCTTCACTGTAATGTCCGCTGATGGACTTTTTTTTTTTTTTTTTTTTACCAGTGCATAGTACAACTGGCAAAGGAAACCTAGCTCTTTCCTAAGTGATGGCAGCATCTGATCCTTGTTAACACTGCTCTTAAAAGCCAAAAATATCACTCTTTAAATAGATTATGTGAGAGTGTAGAAACAAGGATGTGTGGTAGACATGCAAGAGAAGACTGGAACACAAAGTATATTGCATGCATGGACACAACCGTACAAGGGCCAAAGAGAAGGTGTGGAAAATAACATCCTGATACGGCTTCCCAGAGAAGCACACTGCTGCATCAAATAGGTCATCTTGTCAAAAACACATGCCACTCAGCTAGTTCACAAGAAGACCAAGCAAAATTCTTCAGAGCCTTGTTTCAGAAAGAAACTGATAAGAACTGCCATCAGTCCTTTGGACTTACCAGGGTCCATGTCCCTTCTGACCTGCAGGGCTTTGCTGCTCTCTCAGGCTGCTGGGTTATTTCAGCACTTCTGTGTAAATCAAAGCCACATCTCCAAGAAAATTGAATGAACACATGGTTCTGCTCACTGTGGGGACAAATGTATACACAGTGTGAATTTCTGGACTTATTCAATTAATGTCTTGCCTAAACAGGCTCCAGAGCTATGTTTTCCTGCATATTTGAGGGTTTCAGTCAAGCAGCTGAATCGTGTAATCCACCATCTCAGACATGATATATTACTTGCCAGTTCTGACTGTCCCTGACAAGTTGGTTCATCCTATAAATCATCTGGGGCTTCCAATGAAATATAGATTGATTTTATTTTCCTTACTTCATTTTAGGAGCAAGCAGCCCAGAGGTGGGTGTGTCAAAGTTCCTTTGCAATACTGCTCCTAGGAGCAATAAAGTCCTTGCACAAACATTAGTGGAAAGTAAAAGGCAAGTTGAGCAATTGCAATTGAAATCAGACTGCCTTGAGAAGCTGCCAAAATATCTATGAATATATCACCCCCATTAGCAATGTTATACCAGCTGCTGAATTTTGTGGGAAACACATATGTGTCTCTCCCTCTAATTTACAGGACCCACTTTCCCATCTTAGAACTTTCTATTGTGACTTTTGTTCAACATTAAACACCACCAGGGTCAGTGTAAGCACGATGGAAAGGACAACGGATCTTCTCCTCAGGGGCTTCATTTAGTTCATGATGCTGTTAAGGTGATGAAAAAGAGGTAAAAATGTGGCATTTGACAGTGCAAGGGGCAATGCAAGATTGGCATGGGGCAGCTCACTGTGGCCCGAGTCCTTGAGAAGATGGCCAAGCTTTGAAGACACTGTATCTTCATCCTGAGGACTCCACAGAATCCCAGTGTGAAAAAGATAGATGCCATGGACTGGCCATGCCCTGCTCTGAGTAGAGAGAGAACATAAATTTTCTAACATGTTTTTGACTCCAGAGAGGGGTCAACCAGCCCAGTGTGGCAGAGACAAGGTTTCAACACCTTGAAGCAATTAATTGTAGCATTCCCAAGGGGCAGGAGACTACCTTCAATGCACTTCTAATTAATTTACAAATTAGCCTGCTGGCCCATAAAGAGCATCATGCTCTAATTAAGCCCAGCTGCTTTATGGGAAGAGCTACAAGGAAATCTGTAGATCTCGGGTACCTAAAATAAATGTCATATCTGCAATTTATTCGAATAGCACTCATTGCTCCTGGAAGATGTAAAAGCTGAGAATACATTCAGTCAAAAAGAGTTAAACATTTATTTTAAGTCTTGGGGATATCCACAGTTATAATCAATAGGAGAAAGAGACAGCACCAATAGTGCCAGTGTCTACCTAAGATTTGCATCTCATGCTGATGAGAGCCATGGTTGAAACTTTTCCCACAGATGGAACACTTATAAGAGGCTCTCCTGTGTGCTTTCTCTGGTTTCTAATGAGGTGCAAGCTCACCTTGAGCTGTCATGATTACTTGTCTCTGCTCACTAGGGAGCAGGTTATATTCATGAAACCTGTCGGGAATTAACTGTTTGTGAGACCTGCTCCTCTCTGCTCCGTGTGGCAGAGCTGAGATGTGTTCAGAGGTTGCTGGAGACAGGGGAGTAGACAGATAGGGAGGGAGTCAGAGATTTGCACAGCCAGGCAGCACACTGGTTGCATAAGCCCTGTGTCTGTGGGAAATCAGACTAAAACCTTTTCAGAAGCAATACAAACATGTAGCCTTTTCGGACTAAAGTCATTTATGCAGAAATTTCCCCTATGGTCAGACTATTTCATAATTATCCACACTGGGATGTCTTGCATTTTGCTTTGAAGCATCTGGTTCTCAGCATGTCACTATTAGTTTGATCTAGCAGTTCCTATCCTTATATAATAGCAAACCACTTCATGGCTATTTCACACAAAATGTCTCTCTTTTTGCCCACTAAATGACCTGGAACTAGAACACAAACATTCTGTTTGAACAGTTTTACATAACATTCACCAGAGTTTTCACACAACACTATTAAAGACTAATTTGTTTCTGTTCTCAGGCTGATGGAAAGCAGTTCTTTTGGTAGCTTGATTGCGTCAGTGTTCTTTGAATATGTAAATAAAGATACTGAGATAAGACCTGTCCAACTGCAGAGCTCTTTTTCTCTTTATGTTTACCAGATACTTCAAGCTAAATAAAATTACTCTGCACTTGCTCTGCCCAAGAACATGATCAACAAATAGGTAATCAAATCTTCAACTGTGGTCACAAACAGCATCAAAGAAGATTTACAATCACATGTTTCAAAAAGGCATTCTGAAAAATGACTTGGGATCCCAAATAGACCATTTTGAAAAGCAGTTTAACTCACAAGGAATGGAGCTTTCAGGCAATTTTAGGTTCTTGAGCATTTAATGGCCAACTTAGAAAGACGAGCTTCTACTTCACAGAATGTGAAAAGTGTTACCTTGCCAAATCCCATAGATCTTGACAGAAATGCATTACTGGTTGGCATCTGACAATGTCACTGAGCACCCACCCTCACCTTCATTGGTTAAAAAAAAGCCCTGCAAAGTGATTGAAAGATGCTTTTCTAACTGTCTTCAAATATCATTTCCTGGGCAAAGGGCAAAAATATTTTCTCTGCCTGGCTTCTTTAGGTGTAGTGAGTTGGAGGTCCATTTCTTTGGCAAGACTTCCTGAACTGCCTGAATTGTCAATATAGATAGATGATTTTGGAACAATATTTTGCAAAACTGGCCTTAGTCTATTTTAAAAAGATGTTGATATGTCCCACCCAACATGTGAACTGCTCTCTAGAGATGCCCAATTTTGAGAGACATGGGAAATCAGTCAGCAGCATGTTCACTTCTGATGCTCCAGGTATAGGATGAATGCAGCTCTAGACCTCATACATGTAACCTCAAAATATGAAAACAAGCCTAACAGTGCAGATTAATAAAATCAGCTCATCAGATGTTGGGGACACGGAGCAGGTGTGCTGGTAGAACGTGCCAACAGTTAAAAGGAAAAAGACACTGGACCTCTTAGTCTTTGTGTGTGTCCCTACCTTCTTTGCCAGCTTCTTCCCTCCTGGACTTTAATTCACCAGATGCTATGCATGAATATTCTGGTCTCTGAAGCAGGGAAATCACTTCCTATTAAAATAATATAATGATATTACATTCATTTTGCCAGAGTTCATTTTAAACAACTGCTACAGGTTAAAGTCTTTTATGTAACATCCCCAAGAAAAAGCAATGCCAAGAATATCTTAGGGTAAAAACAAGTGAAAAGAAAAGTAAGACATTCAGGAAGCAGAAAATTGTTCAGATCACACTTTAATGGCTTTGGTTTTTTTGGGGTTTTTTCTATTTTTTTTTTAATAATAGCTGAACAGAATGCATGTACCACACAGTTAGAGGAATGAATTAAAAGGACTCATTTGCCCTTCAGAAGGGCACATGAGCGACCTGCTCTTTATGGTATGATATGAAACTGCAAACCCACATTACAAAGGGAATATTATATAGAGCAATAGAACTATATTTGCCCAGTCAGTCTTTCTTCTGACATTTCGTGGGATTGTTTTTGTCTGTGTATTTTGATAAGTCAAAAGAAATGTTGTCTATTTGCAATTGCTACCTTACACCACACCCCAAGAATTATTATTTTTTAAAAAGATCAGTCTGAAAAGAAAGATTGTTAGTCACTGATATTAGCCATTGACAAAGGAACAAGGTCACTTTAAAGGTCAGATTATTTCAGTAGCTACAGGAATTCTGCCTAAACTACTCAGCATCCCATCCAACAGTGCATGACAAGAGGTTCTGAAGGCAGAATGGCCCAGAGAAGCATTTTGCTTGCACCAGGTTTATTATGCTGCTTGAAGCAACACAGACCCTGATGCTATTCCATGGCATCAGCTGTTGATGGAAATGTGTTTAGAGGAGCTGAGAGCTCACCAAAGACTTCTCAGAGTACTGCCACTTCAGAATGCAAAAAAACCCCAAGCTCTTAAAAACATTTTGATGCAAAACTGCCTCTGAAATCAGTGGCCTTTATGAGGAGCTCAACACTGCCCAAGGCTCCCCAAGAGCTGCTCTGCCCTCCTCTTGCCTGGGAGAGGGAAAACCCACATGTCCCACAGAGGCACGGATTGCTCAAGGAGGCAACAAAGGCTGTTCCCTTTCCACCTGTTTCTCTCCTGGGACAGCCTGGAAACGCCACCAAAGATCCAGCAGCAGAAGTTATGCCTTGCCTTAGAAATCCCCACACCTTTTCCTCTTCTTTTCCTGCAAAGCAGCAGGAGGGAGGTGAGCCAGGATGGTCCCACCACCCTCTGGGTCTCAGGTACATTTTCCTGAGCACTTCTGCAGGCATCATTCCTCTTGCTGGGGAGAAAGGGTAGCAGGGTCTGAAGCATCTCCTGCTGGCACAGTGGCCCAGGCAGGCTGCATAGGCATCGACAGTCCCCGCCACAGCCAGCTCAGCTTTATCTCCATACTGAATAAACAACCAAACATCTGCTTTATGATATCAGCTGGAACAAAAGCACTGGACATTTTGAGTGCAATTTAACAATGTCTATGACCTCAGACAATTTGTTGTTTCTTTAGCGTGTGCGGAGCCTGACCCCATTCACATCCTCTAAATCCTTTTGCTGTCTTCTTCTTTTCCTGCCCTCAAAAAGGACACAGGATGAAAACAAAAGAAAAAAAATCCAAGGGGAACCAGTATTAAATTTTAAGTAGCAACAACCAAGCACTTAATCAGTGTGAACATGGTATTCATAAATCTTTATCACCAACAATTTTTTTTATATCTGGAATCCACTATCCTTCAAATTCATCCCTTTTGTTCACTCAGTGATAATGTCATTAAATGGACCTCATTTGTCAAAGCATATGAATCCAGAAATCCGTGGAATTATTAATTTCTCCGTTTGAAAATGTAATCTTGATTCATAAACTAAATTTTATGGAAAGAAATCTCGTTGCGTTTGGAAACTACACTCTTGTTACTCCAAGGAAAATTAAGCACAGACCAGCCTTTGTTTGGGTTGGCACTGGAGGACACTTTAACACCTGTGTTATTTTCTTATAGCCCAAGAGCAGCCACTCATTCCTTTCCATTTCACTCCAATATTTTTCACCTCTGTCTCTGGCTGTGGTCACCACAGAAATTTCAGAATGGCTGAGGTGAGGTGACAACAATAAACATGATTTATCACAGCTTCCCAGAGACTATTCTGAAAAAAATGGGATCCATTTCTTTTTCATAGAAGAATAACTTTGGATGTGGTCAAAAAAAAAACAAAAAAAAAAAAAAAAACAAAAAAACAACAGAAAAATGTTTTCTGAAGCTCATTATTTTTATTATTTATTATTTTTATTCCATATTTCTTAACTGATTCCACCACCTCTTAATGCAACCAGTTCTTTCACAATGAAATCTAACTTCTAATTTCACTTTCCATTTCTGAAGTAACACATCAAAACTGGTCTTAGCCTATTATAACTGCTAAAATGTTCAGCTCTTCACCAATGGGCTGCAATAGGAAGAGATGAATACAAATCTTACTTTGGCATGAAGAGATAGTGTGAGTGGGTATGACAGTAGTGTGCATAAGTGTGGGTGTGAATTTGTTTTTTGTATTTGATACAGAAACAGAGAAAGCAAAAATAGAGAATCATAGACTAATTCACCTTGGAAAAGACCTACAAGGTCATGAAGTCCTACCATTAACCCAGCATTGCCAGGCCCACCACTTAACCATGTCCCTAACCACATCTTTTGGCTATACACACTGTAACTAAAGGAAAGACAAGACAAGGACAATGCACCAATTTCCCATCTCCTCTGCAGCCTGTTTGGTGAAGAAAACTCTTCAGTGTCATGCAATAAGCCTTAAAATGGGTGCTGGTGACAGGTCCAGTACAGCAAAAAGACAGAGCTTTGATAACAAAGTATTTCACAGCCTGCTGTTGCATTTAAAGAGGGTGTGCAGCTCTCACAGATTGCTAAGGATGCAGCCAGGTGGGTGAGATGCATACAGTGCATGAGAACAGACACAGACAGTGCAGGCAAGAAACAACTCTTGAAAAACAAGTTTTTCCTAGAGGCTTTGGCAAGAAGCGCAGAAAGACTTAAGACCCAACCAAACTTGGTAAGCCCAAACTTTCTTCCATCTTTTGGGTTTTGGGCATCTCTGAAACAGTGACTTAGGTTTATGCAGTCACCAGCACTGTCCTGATGCAGGTTGATACTGTAAACAGCACTGTCCTCCTACAGCTTCAAGCCAAATGTCTCCAAAAGGATTAGGCATCCCACTGAAGTGCTATTTGTCTTGATCAGAAATAGATTTTGACTTGCTGCTTGGAGACAACCAAGTGTTGTGGAAGAGGGGAGGAAGACCCCAAGGACCATAGCTCATAGCCATTCCAAAAATGGCTCTAAAAATCTGCTCTCCAATGCTGCATGGGTTGTCCCTGCTGCGGACAGCTCACCATCCCACCACACCTGAGCCTCAGCATCGCTCCTGTTCTACCTCCTGCCCACAGTGCCTGTGTGGGCAGCTGCAGCATGGAGAGCAGCTGGCGGGCAGATGGGGCAGGAGGCTACAAAGGAGCTGCCAGGCACTTCCTCGGTACAGCAGAACAACCACAGCCCCCCACAGGCATCAAAAACTGATGGGCTTTCCTGGCCTCACCAGCGTGTCCTCCTCCAGGTCCTGCTTCTCTTCCTGCTGCCCGCCAGGGCTTATTCCTCTGGGCAATGGCATGCAAAATACAGGAGAGCAGCAGAACCAGCTGGCCCCAGACTGGGACATGGTGGTGGGATGCAGAAGGCTTCTTTCTATGTGCAATTACTCTTTGATGCACACAGGTTGGGGAGCATGGAAATGAGGTCAGGACTGTGGGGATGGGAAGAGGAGAAAGCCAGGCTCCACGTGAAAGTAGTCTGTTGGAGCTGGAGAGACGTCCCCACTAACGTCCAGGCCAGATGGAGGAGAGTTGCCCATCTGGGGAGCAAAACCTGATGGATGGATGAAGGATCAGCATGGTCCTACTCACTCAGCTGTGATCCAGGGCAGTCTGAACTATGCATCATTGTTGCTTTTTCCCACAAGAACCCTGGCCCATGTTCTGCTCAGCCCACCTACAAACAGCCCCCATGCTACTGAGCCCCTGGCAGCTAGGTCAGCAGGGCTGGGAATCTCTGGGACAGCCTTGACCTGGCTGCTGCACTCAGCCCCTGTCCCTGCCACTCCAAAGCTGCCTGTTTCACATCATGTTTCCCTGCTGTGCTCCAAAGGCCATGTCTTTGGGAAGTATTTTTGCAGCAATAAAGCAGCATTTTCACTGGGAAAAGCTACATTTTAATAGTAAGAGGAGAGGACTGTTAAAGGCTGCAGCAGACCCCGTTTGGCGCCAGGCACTGCTTTTTTTTCTCTTCTCCATATGTACCCCATATGCAAGTACAGCTGAGAAGCTGACATGGTATTTTTTTAAAAAGGAGACAAATATCTGAAACTGCCCTGAGAAGGAGGTTCAGGGCTTCTTAACTCTTCTTTTCCAAGAGCTGTGAAGACCCCAGAGATCTCTTACCTCTGTACTTTCTAATTCCCTCCTTGCAGGTAAATAATAACTTGGGTAACTGTGGGTATAGGGGTGAGAACTTTACACTCTTTATGCCCTCTCCACAGCGCAGCTACTATTCAGTGTCTTGGTCCTGTGCCGTGAGAACACATCTATGGCTGACACAGCACAGGCAGGGGCTGCTTGTACTATTGCTTAGTACTAGTAGCCCACTACTTTGCCCAAGTTTGGATGGCTGTGATGGGTCTCAGAGAGCAGACGTAGGTCTTCTGATGGGTGTCCTATCCCAGCCTCTCCTACCGTCCCTCCACTGTCATGAGTCTAGGGTATCCAGCACTGCCTAATGCATCAATTTACTCTCACCTCAAGAGTTCCTCCTAGCACAGACCACCAGGTCAACCAGAACCAAAACTCTCTCCAGACTGTGTTTTCAGCCACAGAAGAGGCATGGCAGTGCACTGCTGTCAATAAGGAAGCCATGCTCACCAGCTCCTTCTTCCTTTCAGCTGAGAAAGTCACTGTCCATAGATTCATGTGGGTGGGTTTGTCTGTGTCCC